TGTGTGTGTGTGTGTGGCTGGTGGTGTTTGGTCACAGTAGGTGGCTTTAGGCATCTGCACTGGCACAGCTGTTCTGAACAACTTCACTGTTCTGTTTGTGCACCCAAAGCCTCGCCCGTTACGGCCTGAGGACTTTATGAGCATCGCACAATCTTCTCACACTCTCAGTCACGTAAACAGAGGCGTAAGCAAACATCGCACGTTCCCATAAGCAGATCCTTAACCTCAGTTAAGAGCAAAGAGAAATTGAAGACCACATACGGAACATGGTCATGTACTGCTGGCCGTGGAGGTTCCAGTAGCCCCAGTTGGTTCTGTAGCCATGCAGCGTGGCGTACTCCTCATGGTTGTAAGCAGGCTCAGTGCCGAAGGTGTCAATCACTCGGATGTGGCACCTGGGACAAAATAAGAAATAGGATGAGCTAAAATTAGAACAAAGATTACTCTCACTTTAAAAAAAATATTCCCTTGGATGAGTAAGACAAAAAAGTAAAAAATAATACAAAAATAATTCCATTAGCTTGGTTTAATCACCACATGTAGCACATAAATGTACAATAACAATGTGTCTGTATAATACTGTGCTCAGAGAATTAGACTATAGCAACAACATGACAGCCATATAAAAGCGAATAATATTTTTCTCAATTTGACTTATGAGAGCTCGTGTCAGCACTCTAACTGTTCAGTTGTCTTGGTTTGTAAAGCTGTCAGCTGTGATGGATATCCATGTCCCCCTGCCAGTCCCCCCTCACTGAGCAGAGCTTACACGGGCCTTAAGGTGAGACGTCTGAGGCTTAAATCACAGCCTTGTTCCAGCAGGGCCCTCCTGCATGGACCAATACTGCTCTCCAAAATACGATTTAAGGAGAGGCTAAACTCTCTTGCCATGTGTCTCTTTGGATAGGCAGAAAAATGCTTAAAATTCTCTCTGATTATGTGACGGCACCGCTAAACATGCATCAACACGAAAACATCAGTTTGCCGTGTTAATGTCTTCCCAGATCAAACTCAAACAGAAAAGCAGAGTGGAGGAGAGGAAACAAAATGCGTTTAGTTTGCAATGAGCAACTTGAGAGAAGACATAAAGAAAATTACATTAGCACTTTATCAGCAGTGAATATTCACTCTGGGAAGTCAAAAGTCAATTGATGTAATCCAATCTGAGAAGATGTATCAATGCCCTGCATCTCTAATCAGTGTCATGGCAGGAGAGGAAATGAAAGTATTGGTCTGTCACTTTGTGACAGCTGAGGAGTGCCGGTCGATCAGCTGACCTTGGACTGATGCTGATTGGAATCAGCGGAGGTTTTCACTGCTGCGCCCTCGTTTTAGAGAATCCAAAATGCAGGAGAATCAGGATGAATTATCGTGAAATGTGTGCGTCTGCTGCTGAGTTATTTAATGAATGTAGCAGCTTCTCTTCTTATGGATTCAGTGTGAACAGTGGAATGAAAACAAACTGCAATAAGGCTTCACAATATAATCTCACACCCCACATGATTATCATTATTTTCACGCTGCTATAATGTTTTCTTTCTTTTACCCTTTTCCTTTTTCATAAATATGTTTTCTTCCAAGAGTTGCGGTAAACTCTGCAAAAAAAAAAAAACTGTACTATACTGTGACTGCTCCAGTGCTGCCCAGCTGGAACGACAGAGCAAAAACTTCACCAACTGGATTTACAGAAAGAACAGAGCTTGGACCCGCTCAGAACTGTGTGTGATGTTGTTTGAGCTTTTATAAATGCTGCATTTTATCATAGTACATAACTATGCACGTGTACAGGCTAACTCATTAATTTTAAGCAGACCAGCTAGTCAAACCTTTTTGTGCGATGCATATAAATAGCAGAGTTTGAGATGCTGCAAAAAAGGAAGTGACATCAACCCAGAAGCCTGAACCTGGTTGATTGATCACTGTGTAAAGAGGCCAAATTGGATCCCCCCCAAAGGGAGATTTTTGCTGATGCACAGTAAAGTTACCAGCCTGTTACACCAGCAAGTCAATAAGCCAATAGTGAAGTGTTTGATCAGAAAGGCAATTACTGGTAACAAACAAACACTGCATTTAGAGCTTGGTAAAGAAACAAAAATGACAGTTTTTGACGAGATACACACATAGAAAGTGACAGAGAGAACAAAAGACTCACTTGTGCTTCCTCAGCGACAGACCCATGTGCTGCTTCATTTGCTGCAAGCCGTGGTAGTCGGTGTAGATGAGGTCAAAGGGCAGAGGTCCTGTCAGAGGACAGCTTCCTCTTCCTGGAGGGACTCCCAAAAACCTGCAGACAGGCCAGGTGAACTTTTACTGTGGAACTGAGCCAAACAGCATTCACAGCGGCATATAAACGATCACTGTAAAGCCACGGAGAGACAAAGCACACAAATCTAAAAGGAAAACAAGAAAAAGCTAATTTTGCTCCCTGAGACAGTTTGAAAACCATCTCACAAATGGAAAAAACTTATTTGGGCAAAACTGAAACACTGCAGGGATACTCAGGTAGAACTAATGTGTTTGTCTTTTGAACAGCCTCTCAGATAAGATCCTGCACATCTAAAAGCTTGGTCGGAGCCATGAAATGCCCCTCTCCATGACAGGGCTGCAGTTTGTATGTCGAATTTTATTGTACACGAAAATATCGTTTCTGTTCGATGGCCATGCAAGCATACAGGTGGAGTGGAACTAGAAGTGCATTCTTTCAGTGGTTAGCTGCACAGGCTTCAATGAAAATCACTGTGACGTGGAGGAAATATTAGCAGAGACTGGTTCTAGTGTGACAAGCCTTTACACTGGTACTGGTAGCGCTACAGTTAATAGTAACAGATTGTTTCCACTTAACAATTATAGAATTTATTTGTCAGTATAGTTACAGGATTGTTTACCCTGCACATGTGAATAACTTCTCCAGAGGAATCTTCCAATGTAGCACTTATAAGATACAAAGGAATATTGATGACAGAGATGGGGTCATTTTACAGTCAAGACAGATCATTGCCCATAAAAACAACTATAAAAATTGCAGAACAATTGGAATACTTTCACCCACCAAGATGCTAAAAAAATTATCTGGTGACTGATTTCGATGGGACTGTCCTACTTTTTTTTTAGCTGCAATTTCTGCCATTTCTCTGAAGATATGTGTGTGTTAGTGGGTGCTTGTATGAACTGAGTGTGGTTGGGAAAGAGACAGAGAGTGTTGAAGACAGGAAGAATGAAAAAGCCCAATTGCGTTGTGAAGCATGTCAGTGCTCTCAGCGAAACAACGGCAGAGCCATTCAACCAAACAATACAGAATTCAGCGCTACAAGGCAGCGATGTCTCGCAACGGGAAGTCACCCAATTTATCTGCACAAGTTGTTCAGACTCACACACGAAAACACACATATTATCTGAGACATGCAGTGCGTTCATTTAATCACACATCTTTAGGGATGGTTGCTTTCAAGCATTATTTGTGCTGAATCTGCCTGTCATGTCATCCAAGCACATACTACATAAATGTTGGCTTCAAGACTGCCAGAATAGTGCTTTTTGCATTTGTATTTATTTTCTCTTGCATTGGTAGCTCTCTTGCCAGACTTGTTAGCAGAAAGGCTCTGGTGATGGCAATGTCGGTCCACTAATTTGGTATAGACTGAAATATCCCAACAACTATGTGGTTGTCATGAAATTTTGTAAGGACATTCATGGTCCCCAGAGGATGAATCCTGCTGACTCTGGAGATCCTCTGGCTATTTCCTCTGGCACCACCATCAGGGCTGACATTTTTACTTTTCATTTAAATATCTCAACTACTGGATGGATTTCTGTGAAATATGGTACACACATTTATGGTCCCCAGAGGATGAATTGTAATAACTTCCATCCTCCGAACTTTCATCTAACGCCACTATTAGGTCAAAGTATATGACAGAATATCTGTAAAACTAATTACATTCCCATCAGCCTCAGTTGAACTTCGTGTTTAGTGCTAATTATTTAATATTAGCATGTTAACACGCTAAACTAACACAGTGAAAACAAAAGACATTTCACCTGTCTAACATCAACAAGCTAGCTTTATCATTGTAAGTTTATTAGCATGATATACGTAACATATAAATATATACACAGTGTGCGGGAGTTGCATCTTTCTCCATCATATATATAAAAATGTAGATAGACAGATACCTATGGAAGCCCTAAAGGGCCATGCATTCATACATTTCCTCCATTTTCCGAGTTAATTTTCTCGAGATCTCAAGATAACGATATAATTAATTTGAGAGTCTCGAGATAAATGACTGTGATATGATAACTGCGTGTCAAGCCAGCCGTATATCTATATACATATATATATCTATATCTATATATCTATATATCTATATCTATCTCTATATATATTTTAATATATCTATCTATATCTATATAGTATATACTATCTAATATTCTATATACTATAATCTGTATTCTAATCTGTATATCTATATATCTATATCTTATATACTATTCTATATATCTATATCTATATCTATATATCTATTCTATATATATATATATATATATATCTATATCCTATATCTATATCTATATACTCTTACTATCTATATCTATAATCTATATATATAATATATAATATATAATTATATATCTTATAATATCTTATATCTATATAATAATCTAATATCCTATATATATCTATATCTATATCTTATATCTATCTATATCTAATCTATATATCTATTATATTCTCTATATCCTATATCCTCCTATAATATATATTATCTCTATATCTATATCTCTATCTATCTATATCTCATACTCTATCTGAATCCTATATCTCTATCTATCCATACTATCTCTATCTATCTCTATACTATATCTCTATCTACTATATCTCTATCTATCTCTATATCTATATCCTACTATCTATTCTATATCTCTATCTATCTATCTATATCTCTATACTCTACTATATCTCTATCTATATCTATCTATATCTATCTATATCTATATCTCTATCTATATCTATCCTATATCTCTATCTACTATTATCTCTTATCTTCTCCTAATATCTATAATTCTATCATATCTATATCATACTCATCTATCTATCTATATCTTATATCTATCTAATCTCTATCATTTATATCTATGCTATATCTATCTAATATCTATATCGCTATCTATATCTCTATCTATCTATATTCTATCTATCTCTATCTATCTATATCTCTAATCTATCCTATATTATACTCTTACTAATTATCTATATCCTCTATTCTATCTATATCTCTAATCTTTATATCTATGCTATATCTATCTATATCTATAATTATATCTCTTCTATCTCTATATCTATACTCTA